CCACGCTATTCGTGAGTCGGCAGGACTATGGGATGAACGACGTCATTCCTCTGTTGCACGTCCTGGAACAAATGCTGTTAACAATGGCTGGTCAGGGTGCGGTAGACGTGGCGCACAGATCTCAACGCCACATGACCCCTGTGGGGGCAGGACAGGAAGAAGAGAGAGAGGAGGTAGAGGAGGACATTTGTGCTCAGGAATTATTGAGTGAAATGGGTGGTTTTTCCACTCAGCGGACAGGAGTGGAGGAGCAGGAGCATCTGGTAGAGGAGGAGGAGGAGGAGACAGAGGACCCAGACGCACCGTGGCAGTATGCTGTGGAGATGGAGGCAGGGAGTCCCTCGCATTCCTTGGCACAAATGGCCCATAGCATGCTCGGTTGCTTGCGTAGCGACAGCCGAATAATAACCATCAGACAGAGGGATGACTTTTGGCTGTCCACCTTGTTGGACCCTCGCTACCGTTCAAAAATGGTGGCCTTTTTCACACCTGCTGAGAGGGAGGCCAAAATAACGTACTATAAAAACCACCTATGTAGTCAGTTGGTCTCTGCCTTTGTGCGCCAACGTCCATCCTCAGACACTGTGGGCCCTGTGCGCTCGCGTTCCGCTGCCATGGCAGCAGGGGAGGGGTGGGGTGGTAGGAGCAGTGGTAGCTCCACCAGCAGCGGCTGCCTCAGTCTGCAGTCGATGATGAGTAGCTTTCTTCACCAGCGCAGTGAGGAAACTACTAACCACCCGCAGCAGCAGCAGCATCAGGTGGACCTGGAGCAGGACCTCAAACAACAGGCTTGGGCCTACTTGGACAGCACCCTGCCAACCGAGGTAGACAATCCCCTTGACTACTGGGCAACGAAACTTGACCTTTTGGCCCCAACTAGCTGAATTTGCCCTTGAAAGGCTGTCATGCCCGGCCAGTAGCGTGGCATCGGAGCGCGTGTTTAGTGCGGCAGGAGGTATTGTAACTCCGCGGAGGACACGACTGTCCACCCAAAGTGTGGAGAGACTCACGTTTGTGAAAATGAATCAGGCGTGGATTAGTCTGGATTTCAAACCACCAGTTCCTGACACAACTGACTAAATCCGCCATGAATCATGCCCCTGCCATGTGCCACTTTCAGGTCTCCTCACACTGCTGCTGGTGTTCCATTTTTTGTCATAGGGTGCTGGCAGATTACGGGCCTCCCATAGCTGCTGCCAGGCCCATAATCTGCCATGGGCCCCTATACCCCTCCTCATGCTGCTGCCAGGTCCAGAGTCTCTCATGGGCCAGGTCCATTGCAGTGTCATCGCCACACTCTGCCATGTGCCACTTTCAGGTCTCCTCACACTGCTGGTGTGTTCCATTTTTTGTCATAGGGTGCTGGCAGATTACGGGCCTCCCATAGCTGCTGCCAGGCCCCTAATCTGCCATGGGCCCCTATACCGCCTCCTCATGCTGCTGCCAGGTCCAGAGTCTCTCATGGGTCCCTGTACGGGCTCCCATTGCTGCTGTCTCCATCGCCACACTCTGCCATGTGCCACTTTCAGGTCTCCTCACACACTGCTGGTGTGTTTCATTTTTTGTCATAGGGTGCTGGCAGATTACGGGCCTCCCATAGCTGCTGCCAGGATAATCTGCCGGGCCCCCTCCTCATGCTGCTGCCAGGCCCCAATCTGCTCATGGGCCCCTGTACCGCCTCCTCCATTGCTGCTGCTCCAGGTCCACAGTGTCTCTGCCATGTGCCACTTTCAGGTCTCCTCACACTGCTGGTGTGTTCAATTTTTTGACATAGGGTGCTGGCAGATTACGGGCCTCCCATAGCTGCTGCCAGGCCCCTAATCTGCCATGGGCCCCTATACCGCCTCCTCATGCTGCTGCCAAGTCCAGAGTCTCTCATGGGTCCCTGTACGGCCTCCCATTGCTGCTGTCTCCATCGCCACACTCTGCCATGTGCCACTTTCAGGTCTCCTCACACACTGCTGGTGTGTTCAATTTTTTTTGACATAGGGTGCTGGCAGATTACGGGCCTCCCATAGCTGCTGCCAGGCCCCTAATCTGCCATGGGCCCCTATACCGCCTCCTCATGCTGCTGCCAGGTCCAGAGTCTCTCATGGGTCCCTGTACGGCCTCCCATTGCTGCTGTCTCCATCGCCACACACTCTGCCATGTGCCACTTTCAGGTCTCCTCACACTGCTGGTGTGTTCCATTTTTTGACATAGGGTGCTGGCAGATTACGGGCCTCCCATAGCTGCTGCCAGGCCCCTAATCTGCCATGGGCCCCTATACCGCCTCCTCCTCATGCTGCTGTCCCAGGTCCCAGTGTCTCTCATGCCATGTGCCACTTTCAGGTCTCCTCACACTGCTGGTGTGTGTTCGCCACAATTTTTTGACATAGGGTGCTGGCAGATTACGGTCCTCCCATAGCTGCTGCCAGGCCCCTAATCTGCCATGGGCCCCTATACCGCCTCCTCATGCTGCTGCCATGGGTCCAGAGTCTCTCATGGGTCCCTGCCAGGTCCCATTGCTGCTGTCTCCATCGCCACACTCTGCCATGTGCCACTTTCAGGTCTCCTCACACACTGCTGGTGTGTTCAATTTTTTGACATAGGGTGCTGGCAGATTACGGGCCTCCCATAGCTGCTGCCAGGCCCCTAATCTGCCATGGGCCCCTATACCGCCTCCCTCATGCTGCTGCCAAGTCCAGAGTCTCTCATGGGTCCCTGTACGGCCTCCCATTGCTGCTGTCTCCATCGCCACACTCTGCCATGTGCCACTTTCAGGTCTCCTCACACACTGCTGGTGTTCAATTTTTTGACATAGGGTGCTGGCAGATTACGGGCCTCCCATAGCTGCTGCCAGGCCCCTAATCTGCCATGGGCCCCTGTACCGCCTCCTCATGCTGCTGCCAGGTCCACAGTGTCTCATGCCATGTGCCCACTTTCAGGTCTCCTCACACTGCTGGTGTGTTCATTTTTTGTGACATAGGGTGCTGGCAGATTACGGGCCTCCCATAGCTGCTGCCAGGCCCCTAATCTGCCATGGGCCCCTATACCGCCTCCTCATGCTGCTGCTGTCCCAGTCCTCAGTCCTCATGCTGCTGTCCCTGTACGGCCACACTCCCATTGCTGCTGTCTCCATCGCCACACTTTTGCCATGTGCCACTTTCAGGTCTCCTCCTCCACAGCTGCTGCTGGTGGCCCCTAATCTGCCACATAGGGTGCTGGCAGATTACGGGCCTCCCATAGCTGCTGCCAGGCCCCTAATCTGCCATGGGCCCCTGTACGGCCTCCTGCATGCTGCTGCCAGGTCCACAGTGTCTGCCATGTGCCACTTTCAGGTCTCCTCACACACTGCTGGTGTGTTCAATTTTTTGACATAGGGTGCTGGCAGATTACGGGCCTCCCATAGCTGCTGCCAGGCCCCTATCTGCCATGGGCCCCTATACCGCCTCCTCATGCTGCTGCCCAAGTCCAGAGTCTCTCATGGGTCCCTGTACGGCCTCCCATTGCTGCTGTCTCCATCGCCACACTCTGCCATGTGCCACTTTCAGGTCTCCTCACACACTGCTGGTGTGTTCAATTTTTTGACATAGGGTGCTGGCAGATTACGGGCCTCCCATAGCTGCTGCCAGGCCCCTAATCTGCCATGGGCCCCTATACCTCCTCCTCATGCAGTCCAGAGCTCATGGGCCACGGCCTCCACAGTGTCATCGCCACATGCCATGTGCCACTTTCAGGTCTCCTCTCACACTGCTGGTGTGTTCCAATTTTTTGACATAGGGTGCTGGCAGATTACGGGCCTCCCATAGCTGCTGCCAGGCCCCTAATCTGCCATGGGCCCCTATACCGCCTCCTCATGCTGCTGCCAGTCCAGAGTCTCTCATGGGTCCCTGTACGGCCTCCCATTGCTGCTGTCTCCATCGCCACACTCTGCCATGTGCACTTTCAGGTCTCCTCACACTGCTGGTGTGTTCCAATTTTTTGACATAGGGTGCTGGCAGATTACGGGCCTCCCATAGCTGCTGCCAGGCCCCTAATCTGCCATGGGCCCCTGTACCGCCTCCTCATGCTGCTGCTGCCAGGTCCACAGTGTCTCATGCCACATGCCATGCCACTTTCAGGTCTCCTCACACACTGCTGGTGTGTTCAATTTTTTGACATAGGGTGCTGGCAGATTACGGGCCTCCCATAGCTGCTGCCAGGCCCCTAATCTGCCATGGGCCCCTATACCGCCTCCTCATGCTGCTGCCAAGTCCAGAGTCTCTCATGGGTCCCTGTACGCCCTCCCATTGCTGCTGTCTCCATCGCCACACTCTGCCATGTGCCACTTTCAGGTCTCCTCACACACTGCTGGTGTGTTCCATTTTTTGACATAGGGTGCTGGCAGATTACGGGCCTCCCATAGCTGCTGCCAGGCCCCTAATCTGCCATGGGCCCCTGTACCGCCTCCTCATGCTGCTGCTGCCAGGTCCACAGTGTCTCATGCCATGTGCCACTTTCAGGCCACTTTCAGGTCTCCTCCTCACACTGCTGGTGTGTTCAATTTTTTGACATAGGGTGCTGGCAGATTACGGGCCTCCCATAGCTGCTGCCAGGCCCCTAATCTGCCATGGGCCCCTATACCGCCTCCTCATGCTGCTGCCAGGTCCAGAGTCTCTCATGGGTCCCTGTACGGCCTCCCATTGCTGCTGTCTCCATCGCCACACTCTGCCATGTGCCACTTTCAGGTCTCCTCACACTGCTGGTGTGTTCAATTTTTTGACATAGGGTGCTGGCAGATTACGGGCCTCCCATAGCTGCTGCCAGGCCCCTAATCTGCCATGGGCCCCTATACCGCCTCCTCATGCTGCTGCCAGGTCCAGTCTCTCATGGGTGTCTCCCATGCCATGTGCCACTTTCAGGTCTCCTCACACTGCTGGTGTGTTCCATTTTTTGTGACATAGGGTGCTGGCAGATTACGGGCCTCCTATAGCTGCTGCCAGGCCCCTAATCTGCCATGGGCCCCTATACCGCCTCCTCATGCATGCTGCTGCCAAGGTCCAGAGTCTCTCATGGGTCCCTGTACGGCCTCCCATTGCTGCTGTCTCCATCGCCACACTCTGCCATGTGCCACTTTCAGGTCTCCTCACACTGCTGGTGTGTTCCATTTTTTGTCATAGGGTGCTGGCAGATTACGGGCCTCCCATAGCTGCTGCCAGCCCCTAATCTGCCATGGGCCCCTGTACCGCCTCCTCATGCTGCTGCCAGGTCCACAGTGTCTCATGTCATGTGCCACTTTCAGGTCTCCTCACACACTGCTGGTGTGTTCCATTTTTTGACATAGGGTGCTGGCAGATTACGGCCTCCTCCATAGCTGCTGCCAGGCCCCTAATCTGCCATGGGCCCCTATTACCGCCTCCTCATGCTGCTGCCAGGTCCAGATCTCTCATGGGTCCCTGTACGGCCTCCCATTGCTGCTGCTCATGGGTCCCTGTCCATCGCCACACACTCTGCCATGTGCCACTTTCAGGTCTCCTCACACACTGCTGGTGTGTTCAATTTTTTGACATAGGGTGCTGGCAGATTACGGGCCTCCCATAGCTGCCCCTGCCAGGCCCCTAATCTGCCATGGGCCCCTGGTACCGCCTCCCTCATGCTGCTGCCAGGTCCACAGTGTCTCATGCCATGTGCCACTTTCAGGTCTCCTCACACTGCTGGTGTGTTCAATTTTTTGACATAGGGTGCTGGCAGATTACGGGCCTCCCATAGCTGCTGCCAGGCCCCTAATCTGCCATGGGCCCCTATACCGCCTCCTCATGCTGCTGCCAGGTCCAGAGTCTCTCATGGGTCCCTGTACGGCCTCCCATTGCTGCTGTCTCCATCGCCACACTCTGCCATGTGCCACTTTCAGGTCTCCTCACACACTGCTGGTGTGTTCCATTTTTTGACATAGGGTGCTGGCAGATTACGGGCCTCCCATAGCTGCTGCCAGGCCCCTAATCTGCCATGGCCCCTGTACCGCCTCCTCATGCTGCTGCCAGGTCCACAGTGTCTCATGCCATGTGCCACTTTCAGGTCTCCTCACACTGCTGGTGTGTTCAATTTTTTGACATAGGGTGCTGGCAGATTACGGGCCTCCCATAGCTGCTGCCAGGCCCCTAATCTGCCATGGGCCCCCCTATACCGCCTCCTCATGCTGCTGCCAAGTCCAGAGTCTCTCATGGGGTCCCTGTACGGCGTCCCATTGCTGCTGTCTCCATCGCCACACTCTGCCATGTGCCACTTTCAGGTCTCCTCCACACACTGCTGGTGTGTTCAATTTTTTGACATAGGGTGCTGGCAGATTACGGGCCTCCCATAGCTGCTGCCAGGCCCCTAATCTGCCATGGGCCCCTATATACCGCCTTCTCATGCTGCTGCCAAGTCCAGAGTCTCTCATGGGTCCTGTACGGCCTCCCATTGCTGCTGTCTCCATCGCCACACTCTGCCATATGCCACTTTCAGGCTGCTGGTGTGTTCCATTTTTTGTCATAGGGTGCTGGCAGATTACGGGCCTCCCATAGCTGCTGCCAGGCCCCTAATCTGCCATGGGCCCCTATACCGCCTCCTCATGCTGCTGCCAGGTCCAGAGTCTCTCATGGGTCCCTGTACAGCCTCCCATTGCTGCTGTCTCCATCGCCACACTCTGCCATGTGCCACTTTCAGGTCTCCTCACACTGCTGGTGTGTTCCATTTTTTGTCATAGGGTGCTGGCAGATTACGGGCCTCCCATAGCTGCTGCCAGGCCCCTAATCTGCCATGGGCCCCCGTACCGACTCCTCATGCTGCTGCCAGGCCCGTAATCTGTCATGGGCCCCTGTACCGCCTCCTCATGCTGCTGCCAGGTCCAGAGTGTGTCATGGGTCCCTGTACGGCCTCCCATTCCTGCTGTCTCCATCGCCACACTCTGCCATGTGCCACTTTCAGGTCTCCTCATACTGCTGGTGGTTTCCATTTTTGTCATAGGGTACGGTATGGCCTCCCATTGCTGCTGCCTCCACCGCCACACTGTGGCTCCACACTCTGGTTTTGGCCCCATGACTGCCCAAATGAGTGAAGTGTGCGGTGATTCTAAGATCGACGGCACTCATCTGCATGTCATACTGACTGTCAGTATTATTTCTCTTCCCCAGCAGACTCCAAGGGCATTTAAATTAAAGGTACAGTGTTCTGCACTAATATAAAGGCTCTCTGAAGCCTAGAAACACCCTTTTATAAGTTAAATTCGCAGCGAATATATTCGACTCGAATCAAAATTTTTCCACGAATTCGCCGAATTAGTCGAATCGAATTTTTGAATACTTCGCTCATCTCTACTGGTGACCAATAGAAAATTGCATGTATACTGAGATGATGCAATATTAGCCTTTAATTGCATCACTTCACTGCATAAAAGCTGCAGTATCTGTAGTTGATTGTAGTTCGACAGCGTCTTTACATTTCGTTTTATGCTTATATAGGCTACTCAGTAATGCCTCGAACTTGTGTGAATAAAGCAGATAATTTCTGCTATATCTGCGGTGAAATAACTTTTATCTCACAAAAAAGGAGGATAACAGGAATGATTAAGAAAGCCTACAACTTGTATTTTGGCTGCAAGATAGGGGACCAGGACAAGAGCTGGGCACCACATATACAGTTGCAAGAAAAAGTATGTGAACCCCTTGGGATTACGTGGAGTTTTGCATGAATTGGGCATAAAATGTGCTCTGAACATCATCTAAATCACAACAATAGAAGAACACAGTCTGCTGAACATAATACTACACAAACATTAGATGTTGCCATGGTTTAATTGCACATAACATGTAAACATTCACAGTGCAGGGGAGAAAAAGTATGTGAGGCCCTAACTTAATGACTTCTGCCAGAGCTAATTGGAGCCAGGAGTGAGCCAACCTTGACTCCAATCAGTGTGATGATATTGGATGTGTTGCTGACAGCTGTCCTGCCCTTAAAAAACACACACCTGTTTTGGGTTTACTGGTTTCAAGAAGCACTGTCTGAGGTGAACCATGCCTCGCAGAAAAGAGCTCTCAGAAGACCTACGATCAAGAACTGTTGACTTGCATGAAGCTGGAAAGGGTTACAAAAGTATCTGCAAAAGCCTTGATGTTCATGTGTCCACGGTAAGACAGACTGTCTACAAATGGAGAAAGTTTAGCACTGTTGCTACTCTCCCTAGGCGTGGTCGTCCTGTAAAAATGACTGCAAGAGCACAGCGCAGAATGCTGTATGAGGTAAAGAAGAATCCCAGAGTGTCAGTTAAAGACCTACAGAAATCTCTGGCACATGCTAACATTTTTGTTGACACATCTACAATAAGGAAAACATTAAACAAGAATGGAGTACATGGGAGGACACCACGGAGGAAGTCATTGCTGTCCAAAAAGAATATTGTAGCACGTTTGAAGTTTGCAAAAGAGCACCTGGATGTTCCACAGCCCTACTGGCAAAATATACTGTGGACAGATGAAACCAAGATTGAGTTGTTTGGGAAGAAACACACAACACTATGTGTGGAGAAAAAAAGGCACAGCACACCAACATCAAAACCTCATCCCCACTGTAAAACATGGCGGAGGGAGCATCATGGTTTGGGGCTGCTTTTTGTTGCCTCAGGGCCTGGACGGATTGTTGTCATTGATGGGAAAATGAATTCCAGAGTTTATCAAGACATTTTGCAGGAAAACGTACGACCATCTGTCCGCCAACTGAAGCTCCAGAGAGGATGGGTGATGCAACAGGACAATGACCCAAAGCATACAAGTAATTCAACAAAACAATGGCTGCAACAGCACAGAATATGCCTTCTGGAGTGGCCCAGTCAGAGTCCTGACCTCAACCAGATTGAAATGCTGTGGCATGACCTTAAGAGAGCGATTCACACCAGACATCCCAAGAATATTGCTACACTGAAACAGTTTTGTGAAGAGGAGTGGTCCAAAATTACTCCAGATTGTTGTGCAGGTCTGATCTACAACTACAGGAAATGTTTGGTTGAGGTTATTGCTGCCAAAGGAGGGTCAACCAGTTATTAAGTCCAAAGGTTCACATACTTTTTCCTCCCTGCACTGTGAATGTTTACATGTTATGTGCAATTAAACCATGGCAACATCTAATGTTTGTGTAGTATTATGTTCAGCAGACTGTGTTCTTCTATTGTTGTGATTTAGATGACGTTCAGAGCACATTTTATGCCCAATTCATGCAAAACTCCACGTAATCCCAAGGGATTCACATACTTTTTCTTGCAACTGTATGCTGCAATTCTTGTGGGACGGCACTGGAGCAATGGTTGAATGGAACAAAGGCATCTATGCCTTTCGCTGTGACAATGATTTGGAGAGAGCCAACAGATCATGTTAGTAATTGTTACTTTTGTATGGTGCCTCCAATTGTAAAAGGGCTAAATAAGAAGAAAAAGTTATCTGTGCACTATCCAAATATTCCATCGGCAATACGTCCAGTTCCTCATGGAGAGGGGCTACCAATTCCTAAAGCACCAGAATCCTTCCTGGTTGAGTCAAGTGAGGAAGAACCTGAAGCGTGTAGTCACGTGCAGTTGTAAGAGATAGCCCTTTCCTCGAATACAAGAGAAAAGCCAAGAGAAGCAAAACCGACACAAACTGAAGACAAAACTAGTGAGAATCCTAAGTATTAAAATGATTCAACTTAGCTTATGGCTATAATTTTTCTTGGTAATCCTATGCAATATATTATGCCATTTAGGCTTTGTTATGTAGTCAATATCACTTGCTTTATATTTGTGGAAAGACATCTATCTATATAATTATTGTGCATTATGTAGTCATTACGCCTATAGTAGAAAACTTTCCGTTTACAGAAAAACTAGAGCCAATTGACAAATTTCATTGTTATATTTGAACTCAGAATGTGAAATTCATTAAGAAATGGATCCTTTTGTTTCCAAAACTGGCAAAAAATAAAAATTTGTTTAACAGTGAGCTGCAGGATTGCTTTTACAAGCAGCGGGAGATGATGCCCCCCTCCCGCACTGCCTTCCACGGCCTTCTTGGGCAGTCCCGTGCCATCGGGGCAACCTGAGAATGCAGCCGGTGTTTCTGCCAGCTGACCATAGAGCTGATTGGAGACCAGAATGGTGCCAATCATCTCTATAGCCTAAGAAATCGGAAGCTACGAGCATTTCATCACTTCAGTTTCACAGGATAAAAACAGCGCCATTTGTAAATAGGGAAAGCATTTGATCACACCGATCTTGGTTTGATTAGATAATATAAAGGCAGAGGAGATATCTAGAGTCTGATATAACCCAGATTTCTCAAAAAAGAATATATGACAATGCCCATTGAAGTTATAGGGGATATTTGCATCCCCTGTGATAGCATTAAAAGTGATGAATAAAAAATGAAGGGGACAGTGTAAAAATAATGATGTTTGGTATCTATTTACTTGGCATACCATCATCTTTTATATTTTACCAAAAAAATCAAAATAACTTAAAAATAAAAGTACCCTCGACCCCCCGCGCACACATGCATCTGCATCGTGAGCATTGACCCTGTGCCAGTATGGAAACAGCGGTTGCACCATGCATGTGAGGTATCGCCACAAACGTCAGATCAAGGGCAGTAATTCTAACACTAGACCTCCTCTGTAAATCTAAAATGGTAGCTTGTAAAGGCTTTTAAAATGTTGCCTATGGATATTAAAAACGTATGCAGTTTGTCGCCATTGCATGGGGCATGCACAGTTTTAAAGCATGTCTTGTTTGGTATCTATTTACTTGGCATACCATCGTTTACGAAATAATTGGCCAATATTTTGTGTTTTTGTGCATTAAAAGTAAAAAAAGTGTATTTTTTTAAAAAATTGCGTTTGAAAAATTGCTGCAGAAGTACTATATATGACATAAAAAATTGCAGCACCCACCATTTTATTCACTAGGGTGTTTGCTTTAAAAAAATATATAATATTTGGGGTTTAAATTAATTTAAATGTAGCCCTGTTTTGGGGGGGGTTATGTGAAATGGCCCACACCAAACAAGCTATGGCGCTAACCTGTATATGAGTAGGCAATCCTGAGCCTTCGCTATATGGAAGAGGGGGTTGTAATAATACAAATGGCAGTGCCTCCACCTAGAATAGGGATCCTGCAATTGAGGAGACTCACCCCTTTCTAGGAATGTAACAGGTAAACAACTTAAAGTAACTATACATAGCAGTATTAATGCACCCAGCTTATATTTCTAACATGAAAACATGTCACCACACCTGTATGAGATTAATGTAAAGTTTATATAAAGCAGCCATATAAAACAGGATGCATAAGAATAACATTCAGGAATTACAATTTACCATAAATTGGGAGGTTGCAATTATACCCGGGTATATGTGCATGTAGTATACAGAATACCTCCAACCATGGGTTATAGCGCAGTCTGGTTGCAGGGGCCCCTGGAGAGGTGAGAGTCAATAAGATGCACGCTTCTACTTTAGATGCTGTGATGGCGTCCAAGTAACATGCGGATGATTGCACTGCTTGTCTGAAGATCAGCGATGCATCACCTAAAAGGATAAAATGCTCTATCTCTCCTTACTCTTAGTCCCTATCCCTAAACTGGGCTGTCACTGCAACCGGGCCTCTATTTGTCTAAGTGGCCGTCGGATGCCTAACCTACCTCTAGCCTAATCTATCCAACGCTCCCTATGCTAATCCTAGCTAAAAGGAGATCCAGATCAATAAGGATGCTATAGCTTTAAGCAAAGAGGCTGCAAAGATACACTGCAATTAACAGAAAGTTCACCTGACAGTCTTATGCAGGTGAAAACACTGATCTATATATATATATATATATAGACAACTATAAGGATTCTGCAGTGTGTAAATAGAATAATGATTATGAACCACAAATCTCTTAGACAGATATTAGGGTTCCAATACAGAAGTTGAAATATAA